AAAAGTGGGTCCAACCCAGTATTAGTAAGGTGTACCAAAGAAAGTGACCGGTGAGTATATATATATATATATATATATGAGCAATATCACACGAGTAGCAGTGCGATATGACTGTATATCGGCACTAGTGGGAGGCGTGTGTTGGCACGAGGACGCAGGCCAAGTGCCTTAGTTACCCACCAGTGCCGATATACAGCCATATCACACTGCTACTCGTGTGATATTGCGTTTATATAACAGTTTGACGGCATAATTGTGTATATAAAAACAAAATCAAACATGGAGAGTCTCAAAAACCCTTTTGTATGAGGAACTACTTTCTTCCGCCTTGGATTCAAATCACAAGCTGACAGTTAAACAGCTGAGCAGGCATCTTTGAAACTTTAGATCTGTAGTGTCTGGTTTTTGCTGGTTGTATGTGGGCGGAGTAATACACGAAGGGTAAAGAGGCTTTACGGGTGCTGATATTACTTAAATATATCATGGCTTTCAGCCAATCAGATTCAAGAACCAGACAGAACTGCTGTATATATGTATAAATATACATATATATATATATATATATATATATATATATATATATATATATATATATATATATATATATATATATATATATATATATATATATATATATATATATATATATATATATATATATATATATATATATATATATATATATATATATATATATATATATATATATATATATATATATATATATATATATATATATATATATATATATATATATATATATATATATATATATATATATATATATATATATATATATATATATATATATATATATATATATATATATATATATATATATATATATATATATATATATATATATATATATATATATATATATATATATATATATATATATATATATATATATATATATATATATATATATATATATATATATATATATATATATATATATATATATATATATATATATATATATATATATATATATATATATATATATATATATATATATATATATATATATATATATATATATATATATATATATATATATATATATATATATATATATATATATATATATATATATATATATATATATATATATAATATTTTTGGAAATCATTTCAAAACTGCATAGCTACAGTATGAGTCAGCAAGTTTTCTTTGGACTACATCTTCCACCCACACCAAGATGAGAAACTTGTTCTTACTCGGTGTCCAACCACCAGGATTCATTTCTTCTTTTTTGCTTTTCAAAATGACTTTCAGCTTCAGCCCAACAAAGATTAAATCCCATCTCACCAACTATTCCCAACAACACATCCCATAAGGATCAAGGGATCGGTCAATAGGTAGAGAGTAAATGGTCTTTTGTGGCTGTTTGAACACATTCGGCCAAATGATTGTTCACACCACCCCTGGAAAAGGACAAAAGTGGACAAGTTCAAAACACTTTAGACCCATATTACACCTTAATATAGCATACATTTTAATGGCAGTTGTAAACAGACAGTCTTGCTATAAACCTGTACTATAAACCTCATCATTTGACCAAATTGTAAATCAAATCATAATTAACCATCCAGTGTGGTCATGGGTTTGCCAAAACCACCAACAGTGGCGACCGGTACAATTAAAAATAGCCCAAATGCAGAATAATTTTAATACTAGAGCCTACTTCTAATTAAAAATACAGTCATTTTTGTTGTTGTTTCAACTTAAAAAAAGTGTTTCTGCTGCCTTAAAATGATAAGTTTAGTTCACTTAAATAGTGAAGTTGTTTTAGCTGAGGTGGCAGGACTTGACATTACAAGTGTAATGGACATGGTCTAAATTTAGTTAACCAAAGTCCCTTTAAGGCAAGTCATGTCAACCTTGGGTGTAAAATAACACCTGTGTGTTACCATGTGACGCGGCTGGGATAAGAATCAGCACCTCCAAGTCCAAAGCCATGGTGCTCCAAGGGAAAAAGGTGGTTTGCCGTCTCTAGGTTGGAGGAAAGTCCTTACCCCAGGTGGAGGAGTTCAAGTATCTTGGGGTTTTGTTCATGAGTGAGGGAAGGATGGAATGTGAGATTGACAGGCAGATCAGTGCAGCGACAGCAGTAATGTGGTTGATGTTTTGGTCCGTTGTGGTAAAGAAGGAGCTGAGCTGAAAGGTAAAGCTCTCGATGTACCGGTCAATCTACAGTCCTACTCTCACCTATGGTCAAGAGCTTTGGGTCATGACTGAAAGGACAAGATCTCGGATACAAGCGGCCGAAATGAGTTTCCTTCGAGGGGTGGCAGGGCGCACTCTTATGGATAGGGTGAGAAGCTCTGACTCTCGGGAGGAGCTTGGAGTAGAGCCACTGGTTCCCACATCAAGAGAAGTCAGCTGAAGTGGCTCAGGCATCTGTTTCGGATGCCTCCTGGACGCCTACCTAGGAAGGTGTTCGAGGCATGTCCCACTGGGAGGAGGCCTCAGGGAAGACCCAGGACACACTGGAGGGACTTTCTCTCTCGGCTGGCCTGGGAACGCCTCAGGATCCCCCAGGAGGAGCTGGAGAAGGTGTCTGGGCAGAGGGAAGTCTGGGGGTTTCTCCTAAGACTGCTGCCCCCGCGACCCGGCCCCGGAAAAGCAGCAGAAAATTAATGAATGAATAAATGACTCTAAAAAATGCAAATTCTCCAAAAAAAAAAAAAAGAAAAAAATTACTTAAGTACAGTAACGTGAGTAAATGTAATCCGCTACTTTCTACCTCCGCATAACACAAATAGTAAGATACTTATAATGTATAATGACATATAATGCATAACAAACTAACAGTAACTACGTTAACATGGACATCAGTATTAACTATTTGCCTTAATCTAAATAAGACAATAATATGATGGACGTGTTTACATGAGTTGCTTTTTGAATGCTTCTTTCATGATCTCGTTTTACATGATATAGCACATTATTTGATTATTGTTATGGCATCTATCCACGTTACCAACAGAGTTTCATGCAATTTTGGGTGTTTCATTTAAAATTTGTTGAGTTTAACTGCAGTTTGGCATTTTCACTCAGGAACATTTCTTGCATGTTTAACAGAGTAAAGAAGTGTGTTATATTAATTCCCAAATGAGGACAGCGCCATCTACAGTGTGCGTGGTGTATTAAGAGACCGCCTACAGCAGAGTTAATGAAGCATTGCTGTGGGTAAAGCTGGATTTATACTTTCGCCTCTCGCCGCATCCCGTACCGCTGACTGCGCACGCACCTCGCGAAACGGACGAGGCTTTAATACTCGCCGTTGTGATATTCTTTAAAACAACAGAGGACAGTCAAAAGAAACTTTGAACTTGATTCCTCCTTTTCCCCCCATGATCCAAGACATGTGGTATAGGTGAATTACGATCAACTTATTTATTCAGGGTTTTGTGTGAATGCAAGAGTGTATGGGTGTTTCCCAGTACTGGGTTACAGCTGTAAGGGTATCCGCTGCGTAAAACATATGCCGGAATAGTTGGCAGTTCATTTCACTGTGGCAAGCCCATGATTAATAAGGGACTAAGCTGAAAGAAAATGAATGATTTGGGCCTATTTATAATAATAATGTGTATTTTTTATGGTAAATTGAATTAATGAACATTAATTTGTACTTTACAAATGTTAAAAAAACTTTTTAAAACATTCATAAAAATTTAAAAAACATACATAAAAGTGTTATCCACAAAATACTGCATATTTTAGAACAATTTTTTCATAAAAAAAAACTTGCACGAATCAATCACTAGGTGCATTTCCACCAATAGCATGGTTGCCCTTTTACTGCAGAGACGAGAGGTGTGCTTGCTGTAAATGATCTGTCCTGAACTATTGCTGTTTAGGAAGACAGCTCATTACAAGAGTCCGGTCGCCAGCAGCCACCTTTGATGGATAGTTTTCAGTAGATACCTGACAGCAGAGTGTTTTTGCAATGTAAACAAACAGAGAGAACGTTTTATACAAGAAAGCCAAGTTCACATTGTCGCAGTACAGGAGAAATTACAAGTCTGGGGTAGTTGTTCTACCTAATCAATTATACCGTTTTGTGTATAGGTCAAACCTTAAGGTTTTGGCAGTTCGTTTGCCCTTTACTGTAAATAAATACAAAGTTCTGTGCTTACCAACTTAGAAAAGTTGGGATGGTTGCACTAGAATACATAGCATAACATACATAACATAGCACTTGAAAACATAGCATAACGCCAATATCACACGAGGCGTCAGCGTCAACGCTTCCCATTCACTTTGAATTGGTGACATCAGGCATTGCTGAACTACATTGTAGTGATGTGCGGATTGATACTAAAATATTGGTATCTCCGATACCAGCTTTGTATGTTCTAGAATCCATTATCTTACCAAAATATTGATAT